TTCCCTTTTCTTAAATAAAATTTGTCTTTTTTTTCCTTCCCCTGTTCAGAAATTACCTTAAACCGTTCCAACGCTGAACACTTGCAGTCAGTTTATCTACTGTTAAAGAAAAATGATTTTTTTTTGACTTTTTACATTTAAACCCTTATGGCATGGGGTAAAAAACCTCCATTTGAACATATGTCTAAATTTTTGAAAAAGGGGCTGTTTTTAAATTTGTTTTAAAACTACTAATGGGTAAGTATTCAAAGCACAGGGGGCCTTAAAAGGGAGTTTTCCCTGGGGGGCAAACTTTATTTAAGCCTGCGGGGGAGAGTTTTCGGTTTGGGTTTTACGGGGAAGGTCAAAAGTTTCCGGGAATAAACAACCAGGGATGGTGACCCCCCCGCTTTCCCAAAAAGCTGCTGTGGGACCCTTATTTGTTTTTTAATGACCCTCGGAATTTAGATCCCGGGAAAAGGGTTTTTCCGCCTTTTCTTTTTTAAAATAAAGAAGCAAATGACCCCAGATGTTGCCGAAAAAAAAGGGAACCCCTAGCAGTGTCAGAGATGGCCCTTTTGGGTTTGGGGGGGGGGGGGGGGGGGGGGGGGACGGGGGGGGGCGGGGGCCCCCTTCTTGAAGGGATTAGATACAAGAGGATAAAGCTTTCTAAATAGAAAAAAAAAAGATCAGTTTTTGCTCTTGCAAAACTCTCCAAAGATGTTTTTGGAAAACTTTTTTGGCTTTCTTTCCTCCTATGTCAGGTAATGGAATGTATGCCCCTGTTGTTCTGGCGGGTTTCGGGGTGTAGGTTTTTTTTGGGATTGTTTTCTTTTTTCCAAAGTGTATGCATTTTTTATTTTGGTTTAAAACTCTTTTAATTTCTGTGATCACACCAATTTTGGGTTTTTTATTCCCAAAAAACGCAGTCCCCGAGTGGACCGGGGGAAAGGGGAAAATCAAAACCCAAAATTTTTTTCCAAAGTTAACTATGTTAGAATATTTTCTTCCTTTACAATTGGGGGCTCGTCCCGGGTTTTGGGAAAGTCCCGGGGGGCCCGGTTTTTTGGTCCTGTTTGTTTCCGTTTGGCCCGACGCTTGGGTGGGGTTTAAGACAGTATTTGATTTTTTTTCAGTTGTCTGAAGCGCCGGGGTGGTGGGACCGGGGCTGATTTGCTGTGTGGGGCCCTTTCACAGTTTTCAGAAGCTGCAGAGGAAAGATGGGATCCCCCCTAAATGAGTGGGGTTTTTTAAAGGGAAATTTAATAAATACCCCTTTAAGGGAACTGTGGCTTTTTCAAACGGAGCCTTTAGTTAACTCTGATTTAAACCCCTTGGGGTTTTTTTAAAAAAAGGGTTTTTATTGTTTGTTTAAATTAAATTTTAAATTGTTTTAATTTAAAATAAAGTTTAAATTTAAATTTTTTTTAAACCCTGGGGAAAGCAATCCCGGGCCTCTAAAAAAAAGTTTTTTGGAAAATTTGTGTTTTGGGTTTTTAGTTTTGGCTTGTAAAAGCCGGAAAATTTCGACTCATCCCCAGGGGAATTATAATTTTTTTGGGTTTTTAATTTGGATCGATTTGAAACCCACTCATGGAAAAGGACTAATAGCGGGTTTTAATTGGACCGATTTGTATCACTCGGGGGAAAAAGGAAATAAAAAGCAGGTTGGATAAACCTTTCTTTGGCCCCCTTTTTAAGGGGGTTTTGCTTATATAAAAAGGACTAAAATAAAAAATTTTTGATTTAATACGGTTCAATCGCTCTCCCCCAAGCTAAAAAAGGAAAAAAACCTTTTTTGTCACGGGGCGGATTGAGTGTTTGAATAAACAAAAAGGAGGCTTTTTTTTCCCCTCGAGCTTGCCCAGCTTTTGAAGTGAGGACTGAGAAGTTAAAATAGAATAAAGGGTTTTTGAAAAATTAAAATTTGGGACAATTAAAAAAGCGTCATACATTTTTTTAAACCGGCCCCCTTTAGGGTTTTTTTTTTCTTTTTTTTCTGTTTTTCTTGACTGAACAAACAACTTGTCTGTTTTCTTTTGTTTGGTATGTTTTTTTGGGGTTTGTGCTGTGTGTTTGTTTTCCCCCCGTTATACTTTTAGCCTATGTCCCACCACGGGGTGCTGTCTATTCGTCTGTCTGTGTCTGAATTGTGCTGAGATTGTGGGAAGTGATTTGTGTTTAAAGGGTTTGGGGTTCAAAAATTTATTTTTTAAAAATTTTTTTTGCTGGATGTTTTTTTTACAAAATTTCTGTTAAAAAAATGTGTTTCTGTGGGACGGGAGGTGTCTCCGTTTTGGATGCAATTTTTTGTTTCAAAAGGAGGGGGACTGATTGACCCCCTTATTTGCTTTTTGGGGAGGCTTCATTTTCGTGCTTTTTCCCAGCCACGCTTTCAGGTTTCTTGGTTTTTGTGTGAATTGCTTTAGGACGGGAAATTTTGGTTGAAATGAAAAGTACAAAATAAAAATTTTAACAAAATGTTTTTACTTTTCAGCGGGTAAAAATTTTGTTGCATCATTCCCAAAGGCCCTAGAGCACGGGAATGACCCAATTTTTTTATTATAATACGTAACATTGCATCACTTAAATTTCTAGGTTTCCGGACACAGGAGGGAACACCCTCACTGTTTGGGAAAACAGGAAAACATAGGGGATTTTTTTCTGCTTAACGGTTTTTTTTCCCCTGTTAATGTGGGGAAAAATTTTAAAAACACTAATGAATGCCCTTTGTTTTTTGGGTAGGCGTCTTGTGTGCACCCCTTTCCCGCATTTTAAACAGGGACCAAAATGAACTTTTTTTGGGGGTTTTTCCCCTAAGGGGGTCTAGGTACCCAAATTTAATAACAGTGGGCTATAAATAAAATACGGTTGTGGGTAAAAATTGGGATTTTTTTAAAAAGGTTCATAAAAACTGAAAATTTTTAAACTATTGGAAAATAAGTCTTTTTATTTTTTTTTTTTAAAACCCAAAGGTGTTATAATATTTGTTTTTTAAGACTTTTACAGGATAAATTTTTTGGTTTTGAAAAACGGGGGGTAACTTCCTGCATCTTTCTTAAAATGTTTTGGGATGAGTTCTGCTTGGGGGGGGAAATGAAAGTGAATGTGGGGGGCAGAGGGCCCTTTGGAGGGTTTTTTTGGATGCTTATGTAAATATGACCTATTTTAATTTGGGTACGGGGTGTGATTTTTTCTTTTTTTAAACTTTTGGTTACACTGAAGGTTTTTTTTAAAAAATTTATGTTTTTTTTTTAATTTTTTAAGGGGGAAAATTTTTAAGGTAATGAGGGTTTTTCATTTTTTGGTTTTGTCACAATTTGGTTGAAGTAAATCATCTGCTTTGCATTTGAAAATTAATTTAAACGAAAAATTCAGCCTTGGTTTTAAAGCGATAGTTGTAGTTGTTGGGAAAATTGTGTTTTCCCCCTTTGACTAACAACATTTAACAAACTAACCAAAATTTCTAACAAAAAAAACTTGGTTTTTTTCATTGGAAAAAATTTTGGACTTTGTTAAAATTTTGCATAATGGGGGTAAGTTTTTCCCCCATTTTTTTTTTTTCCCCAACCCCCAAAAATTTTTTTTCCCTTTTTGGAAAAAAGGGAAAACAACGGGGGGGATTTTATAAAGAAAAAGACATTACAGATGGAACTTTAAAATTTTTACATAACCCTCATTTAGTTTAAAACAAAGATGGAAGTTTTGGGGAAAAATTGGAACATTTTATGATTTTTTGGTTTTTTTTCAAATTATTTTTTAAAAGTGACATAGTTTTCCAAATTTTTTTCAAAAGAAAATTTTTTATTATATAAACAGGGGGAAAGGGGGGCAGAAGTGCCCCAAAATTTCCCTGGTAAATTTTTGGATAGGGTTTTAATGGTAAATTTTTTAAATTCAATTTTTTTGATTTTTTCGTTTTCCCAAAAATTGAATTTTGGTTTTCTTTTTTTTAAGGTTTTCATATGGGCCTACCTGTTTTAATTTCAATTTTTGTTTTGTGATATAGAAAGTTCTACAAAATTAGATTTTCTCTAAATTTTTTGAAGGGTTTTTAAATAACATTATGCCATGTTTTTTTTCTTTTAAAATTGTTGAAGATTTCTCCCATAAACAGCTGACTTTGATTATATACATTTGGGGGTGAAAATTTGGGTTAATTTTGGGAAAAATTTTTGGGGTTTAAAACTGCTAATGAAATTCAGATAAAATGAAAAATTGAATTTTTTAAAAATTTTTTAAAAATTTTTTTAAAGGGGGAAAAAAAGGTTTTTTTAAAAAAAAAAAATTTTTTTTTTTTTTAAAAAAAATTTAAAAAAATTTTTTAAAAATTTTCCCCTTTTTTTTTTTTTTTTTTTGGGGGTTTTTTTTTTTTAATTTTTTGGGGGTTTTTCCCCCTTTTTTTTTGGGGGGAAAAAAAAAATTTTTTTCCCCCCCCGGGAAATTTTTTTCCTTTTTTTTTTGGGGTTTTTAAAAAAGGCCGTTTTTTAAAAAAAAATTTTTTCCCCGGGGGGAAAAAAAAAATTTTTTTTTTTTAAAAAAAAAAAAAATGGGGTTTTTTTTTTAAATTTTTTAAAAATTTTTTTTTCCCGTTTTTTTAATTTTCAATTTAAAAAAAAAAAGGTTTTTTTTTTAAAATTTTTTTGGGTTTTCCCCCCTTTTTTTAAAAAGGGGGGGGGCCCCCCCTTTTTTAAAAGCTGAAAACCCCCAAAAAAAAAAATTTTTTTAAAAAAATTTTTTGTTTACAAATTTAAAAAAATTTTTTGGGAAAAACCGGAAAATTTTCCCCCCAAGGTTTTAAAAAAAGGGGGAAAAAAAAAAAAATTAAAGGGGGGGGAAAAAAAAGGGGGAACCTTTGGGGAAAACAAACTTGGGGAAAAAAAGGGGGTTTGGGGGAAATTTTTTGGGGGCCCCTTTTTTTTTTTTAAAAAAAAAAAACCAAAGGGGGAAAAAATTTTTTAAAAATTTTGCTTTTAAAAAAAACCAAAAAAAAAAGGGGGGGGGGGGGTTTTTGTTTTTTTTTTTTTTTTTTAAAAAAAAAAAAAAAACCGGGCCCCCCCCCCCGGGTTTTTTTAAGAAATTTTTTTAAAAATTTTTTTAAAAAAAATTTTTTTTTTTTGGGGGGGGGGGGTTTTTTTTTTAAATTTGGGGGCCCCCCTTTTTCCCCCCCCCCCAAAAGGGGAAAAAAAAAAATTTTGGGGGTTTTTTAAAAACCCGGGGGGGGTTTTAAAAGGGTTCCCCCTTTTTAAAAAAAAATTTTTTTTTTAAAAAAGGGGGGTTTTTTTTTTTTTTTAAAAAAACAAAAAAAAGAATTTTTTTTAAAAAAAATTTTTTTTTTCCCCTTGGGGGTTTTTTTTAAAAAAAAATTTTTTTTAAAAAAAAAAAATTTTTTTTGGAAAATTTGGGAAAAATTTAAAAATTTTTTTCCCCAAAACTTTAAAAAAGTTTTTTTTTTTTAAAAAAAAAAAAAATTTTTTTAAAAAAAAAAGGGCGAAAACCCCCCTTTTTTAAAAAAAAAAAAAAAAGGCCCCTTTTTTTTTAAAAACAAAAAAATTTTTTTTTTTTTAAAAAATTTTTTTTAAAAAATTTTTTTTTTAAAAAAAAAAAAAATTTTAAAAAAAAATTTTTTTTTTTCCTTTTTTTTCCCCAAAAAAATTTTTTTTCCCCCCCTTTTTTTTTTTTTCCCTTTTTTTTAAAAAAATTTTTTTTTTTTTTTTAAAAAAAAAAAAAAAAAAAAAATTAATTTCCCCCTTTTTTTTTTTTTTTCCCCCCCCCCCTTTTTTCCTTTTTTTTTTTAAAAAAAAAATTTAAAAACCCCCAAAAAAAAAAAAGGAAAAAAAAAAATTTTTTTTATTAAACTTTAAAAAAAAAATTTAAAAAAAAAAAAAAAAAAAAAAAAAAAAACATTAAAAGGGGGAAAATTTTTTAAAATTTCCAAAAGGGTTTTTTCCCCCATTTTCCCAAAAAAATTTTTAAAAACCCAAAAAAAAATGGAAAAAAGGGGGTTTAAATTTTTAAAAAAAAATTTTTTAAAAAATTTTTTAAAAAAAATTTCCAAAAAAAAAAAACCCCTTTGGGAAAAAATTTTTTCCCCCCCCCGGGGGGGGGTTAAAAACGTTTCCCCCAAAAATTTTTTGGGGGTTTTTTTTTTTCCCCCCGGGAAAAAAAAAATTTTTTTTTTTAAAAAAAGGGGGAAAACCGGGGGGCCCCCCCCAAAAAAAATTTAATTTCCCCCGGGGTTTAAGGGTTCCAAAAATTTGGGGGGGGTTTTTTTTTGGGGAAAGGTTTCCCCCTTTTTTTCCCAATTTAAAAAAAAAAAAAAAATTTTTTTTTTTAAAAAAAAAAATTTTCCCAAAAAAAAAATTTAAATTTTTTTTTAAATTTTTTGGAAAAAAAATTTTTAAAAAAAAAAGGGAAAAAAAAAAGAAAAAACCCCCCAAAAAAATTTTTTAATTTTTTTTTTTGGGTTTTTTTTTTTTTTTTAAAAAAAATTTTTTTTTTGGGTTTTTTTTGCCCTGGGAAATTTTTTTCCCCCTTTTTAAAATTTTTTTGGGGAAAAAAACCCCCCCCCAAAAAAAAAAAAAAAAAAGGGTTTTTTTTAAAAAAAGGGGGTTTTTTTTTTTTTGGGGGGGTTTTTTTTTGGGGGGTTTTTCCCAAAAATTTTTTTTTTTGGAAAAATTTTTTTTAAAAAAACCCAAAAAAATTTTTTTTTTCCCCCTTTTTAAAAAATTTTTTTTTTTTTTTTTTTTTTTCCCCCCCCCCCCCCCCCCCCTTTTTTTGGGGGGGTTTTTTTTTTGTTAAAATTTTTTTTTTTAAAAAAAAATTTTTTTTTTTTTCCCCCTTTTTTTTGGGGGGGCCAAAAATTTTAAAAATTTAAAAAAAACCCCTTTTTTTTTTTTTATAAAAAAAATTTTTTTTTTTTTTAAAAAAAAGTTTTTCTTTTTATTTTTGGGTTTTTTCAAAAAACGGGGTTTTTTTTTTTTTTTTTTTTTTAAAAATTTTTTCCAAAAAAGGGGGGAAAAAAATTTTTTTCCCATTTGGGGGTTTTTTTTAAAAAAAAAAAGGGGTTTTTCCCCCCCAAATTTTTTTGGGGGGGGGGAAAATTTTAAAAGGGGGGTTTCCCAAAAGTAAAAAAAAAACCCGGGGGGGGGCCCCCCCAAAAAAAATTTTTTTTTTTTTTTGGCCCCCCTTTTTTTCCCCCAAAAAAAAAGGGTTTTTTTTAAAAAAGGGGTTTTTGGTTTTAATTAAAAGGGGGGAAAAAAAGGGGGAAAAATTTTTGGGGGGGGGGGGGGTTTTTTTTTTTTTAAAAAATTTTTTTAAAAAAAAAGTTTTCCCCCCCAAAATTTAAAAATTTTTTTTTTTTTTTCCCCAAAAAGGGTGGTTTTTTTTTTTTTTGGGGGGGGGGGTTTTTTTTTTTTTCCCGGGGGCCCCCTTTTTTTTTTTTTTTTTTTTAAAAATTTTTTTTTAAAAAAAACCTTGGGGTTTTTGGGGGGGGAAAAAGGGGCCCCCCCTTTTTTTTTTTTTTTTTTTTTTAATTTTGGGTTTTTTTTTGGTTTTTTAAAAATTTAAAAGGGGGCCCCGTTTTTTTTTTTTCCAAATTAATTAAAAAAACCCCTCCTTTTTGGGAAAAACCCCGGGGGTTTTAAAAAAAATTTTTTTTATTTTTAAAAAAAAAAAGGGGTTAAAAAATTTTTTTTTTTTTTTAAAAAAAAAAAAAAAAATTTAAATTTTAAATTTTTTTAAAATTTTTAAAAAATTTTTTAAATTTTTTTGGGGTTTTTTTTAAATTTTTAAATTTTAAAACAAACCCCCAAAAAAAAAAAAAATTTTTTAAATTTTTTTGGGAAAAAGGGGGGGTTTTTTATTTTAATTTTTTCCCCAAATTTTTTTAAAAAAAATTTTTTTGGGGGGGGGCCCCCCTTTTCCCCCCCCAAAATTTTTTAATTTTAAATTTTAAAATTTTAAAAAAATTGGGAAGGGAAATTTTTTTGGGGGAAAAAAGGGGGTTTTTTCCCCCTTTTTAAAAAGAAAAAAGGGGGGAAAAAAGATTTAAAAAGGTTTTTTTTTAAAATTTTAATTTTTTAAAAAAAAAAATTTTTTAAAAAAAATAAAAATTTTTTGGGAAAAAATTAAAAAGGGAAAAAAAATTTTTTTTTTTTTAAAAAAAAAATTGAAAAAAAAAAAATTTTTAAAAAAATTTTAAAAAAAATTTTTTAAAAAGGGTGTTGTAATAATGTAGACCTTGAAATGATGCAACAGTGATGTTCCCAGGTAAATATTCTGAAATATTCTATTTCTAACATACATTAAATACTCAATCTAATTCAGCCCTCCTTATTTGCATTGCAAAAATTAACAACATATAGTTTCAAGCTACATTAAATTGTCATTTCAATCATAACATAGAAATAGAGTGCTTGAAAAAGTTTTCTATATAAGGAAACCTAGCTGATTGCATTAAGTCCATAACAAGAATGTAAAAAAAAATATTATATATATGTGTGTGGATTATTTAGGACCAATAAATTAGAACATTTGTTTTTCCACGAGGCCTGTTTCTGAGATTAGAGGAAATGCTTTTGAAAAACAACCTCGGAGCAGGTACTGAAGCTAAGACCTTTTTCTGGTCAGTTTATCAGGGAGTACATAAGGAGCTGGCTGCCAGTCATTTGAAGCCTGAAGGTTATCCTCTGAGGTACCTCTGGCCCAGTATGCGAAATACCTGTCAATATTTGGGGGGGTCCCCATCTCCCGATTATTGCGCAATACCGATCTAAATTTTCTCAATATGCAGTAGGCCTATAACATTTCAAAGTCAAAGTCAGCTAATGTCAATTCTTCAGATTCACCAGACATACAAGGACTGGAGAGGACATTCGTTTCTCATTCACCAACAGTGAAGCAGATAAAGTGCACAGGCACAACAGATAAGATCAGTTCCTAATACTAAAATTTAAACATTCAATTTCACAATAAAATATAAAATGTACAATAATATAAAATATGCAATACTTATGCTAGTGCAAAAAGGCAGATGGTAATGGCAGCAGAAAAATTATTATTATTACCAATTATGTAAGATATAGCATTTGTAACAGTAACAGTAACTTTGTAACAGTAAATAAATATAGTATTAATAGTAGTGCAGGAGATAGTTTGTCCGGAGTGATTTTTTTTTTTTTTTTAAGGGGGCTCAGCTTCCTGACAGCTTGGTGGATGAAGCTTTCTGTGAATCTGGTGGAGCGGGCAAAAGCCTGAACAGACAGTCAGTCTATGAAAACACACACACGCAAGACCGTCTGTCTGTCTCTCTGTCTGTCTCTCTCTTTCATGCACGCACATGTCCTGCTTTAATCCAGTTTCTGACAAATGGAAATGGGTCGAATTTGTCCAGAGGAGGTCCATTGAGGTCAACAAACAGGAGTAAAGAACCGTGTTATTAACTGCTGAAAAGCACATGGCTAATTTGCATACACAAACAGGATTGGCTGGCTCCACTTCGCAAAAAACAGCATGTTTGTGAATGAAGGTTTTGAATTTTAATACTGGACATGTTGAGCTTAAAGCTACAGTGTGTAACTTTTAGCGACATCTAGCGGTCAGACTGCAGCAACATGAACATCTCCCCCCCACCCCCCGCTTCTCCCGCCCAACAGTACGGCGAGCGTTACGGGACAAAATGTCTTCCACGACATCCGCATCACCTACCTTCTCAAGTGATGAGGTTTGTTTACATAGATAATTTTACAGATAGTATTTCATTAGTCTGTGTAGGGTATAGATTTCATGTAGACTTAAGATAATAAATATACCCGTTATTTTTTCTAAATCGTTGTGACGTTTTGGCGATCTCGCAATCGCTAGTTTGTTGTCTCTGCGCTGCCGTAGCGCAAAGATGTCTGCCTCCATGGCTGCGAGACCCGCTCCTATGTAATTATAAATAACGAATTCTAAGGCAACGCAAATATTAAGGTTAAGAGGCTGAGCTCGTAGATGATGATAAATAACATACGTAGTTATGTATAATATATTATAGGGTGACCAAACGTCCGTATTTCCCGGGACATATCCGTATTTCACGTCCTGTCCCGGGCGTCCCGGGTTTTTTTTAGAAAGTGGGGAAATGTCCTGATTTCACTGCGCACGACGCTCCGTGTGACGTAATCCCTGAGCCG